AGTATGTAAGAAACACGGGCATTCTGGTTCCAGTCAGCGTCTGTGGCTTTGACTGTGAATATAGAGAGACCTGGTGTGTTGTTTTCTACAATGTAGGCCTCATATGAGCTCCTCTCAAAGACAGGTGCGTTATCATTAACGTCTGAGATCTGTAAGGTGAGAGTGACACTGCTGGAGAGGGAGGGCACTCCCTCATCAGAGCAGGTTACAGTGATGTTGTACTCAGAAGCTCTCTCTCTGTTTAAATCACTGTCTGTTACTATACTGAAAAAGTTATTTGATGTGGAAGAAACTAAAAATGGAATGTTCTTGTTAATATTACATTGAACGTTTCCATTTTCGCCTGAGTCTGGATCTTGGATATTTATGATTGTCACAACAGTGCCAGGTGTAATGTCTTCCGCTATTATGTTAGACTTTGACATGACATTTATAGCAGGTACATTATCATTTGTATCAAGTATTTCTACAACAATTTTACTGGTATCGGCCAGTCCTCCTTCATCACTGGCTTGAACATGTATTTGATATTGTCGCTTCTTTTCAAAGTCGGTGTTTCCGACCAGTGTAATTTCACCAGTTTCTCGGTTCACGTAAAATTTTTCCGAAGCATCGTCCACGGAGTTTAATATTGTATATGATATCTTTCCATTGGATCCGTCGTCTAAATCAGAAGCACTAACTGTAATCAGTACAGTTCCTTCGGGCGAATTTTCTTTTAAGGTTGACTTGTATATTTTTTGAGGAAAAACTGGAGCATTATCATTACTATCAAGCACATTTACGTTGATCTGAACTGCCCCGGAGAGCTGCGGTTCACCGCCGTCTACTGCAGTCAAAACAAGTGACAAATGATCCTGTTTTTCTCGATCTAAAGGTTTCTGCAAAACCATTTCTACCTGCTTACTTCCATCCGCTTGATTCTGCACCTTCAAAACGAAGTTATCAGTGGGCTTTAACAGATAACTTTGAAGGCCGTTTACACCCACATCGAGATCTATTGCTTGTTCGAGCATAAACACACTTCCTGTATTAACGGATTCACTTATTTTGAATTTCATCTCACCTCTTTTGAAAATTGGGGCGTTGTCATTAACATCTGTCACTTCCACGGTAATGCTATAAAATTCCATCGGATTCTCTAAAATAACCTGGAAGTGTAAAGCACAAGGCGCCGTCTGCGCACAGATTAGCTCTCTGTCTATTCTGTCTTTGACGAGGAGGACTCCTCTTTCTCTGTTCAACTCGATGTACTCTGCGCTGTCTCCGGTATAAATCCGAGCTTTCCCTGATTTCAGCCTTTTTACATCCAAACCAAAATCGTGTGCAATATCACCCACAAAAGAGCCTTTCGGCATTTCCTCTGGAATGGAGTAACTGACCTGCCCAGTCACTGAGCAGAAACAGAAAAACAAGGTGAAAAGCAGCACTTGCCGTTGCATTGTTCTAACCGCCATGTTGCAGTAAAAAAAGCCGTGTAATATTGCTGTAAAAAATGGATTCCACTTGAAAAGTAATCCTGTTTATATCATCATGTTGTATGTAGCCACTTTACAAATCGAAAATTGCAACTTTAAAATAACAGCTCCAATCCAAACTGACGCTTAATACGCTGATCTTCGTGTCCTGTACTGCTCATTGTGTCTTTCTCTCGTTCTGTATCGTAAAGGATGGGGATGGCACTGCTGATTTCTTTTCCTATATAACAAAGGATGGTCAACAGCGGCCCTAAGAGTTCATCTTCCTGAACTACAGAATATTATGAAGGATTGAAAATGAGAACAAGTGGTTTCTATTTTAAAATGATTACATTTCTTTAAATGATCAACGCTTGCTTTTTTCATAATAATAATAATAATAATAATAATAATAATAATAATAATAATAATAATAATAATAATAATGATTTTGTTTAAAAGAAAACAAAAAATACAGTAAGGTGATAAACTCAGCTGCTTCAAATTGTTGAACTACCTTGCGTCAACGCCTTGTTATATTCCATGAACTGCCCTGATGTGTCATTGTAATTAATGCACTGAAAAAAGGAGACAGGTTTTATGTAAGCATCTTGGGTGTTTTTAAAACAATTGCGTCATGTTTTAAAGTTAAGTGTTAATTTAACTCAATTGTTTAAGTTGCTGCCAGAGCAAAACATCTGTGTGCAACCAATGTCCACTACTGAATTAAGTAAATCCAATCCATTTTTTTCAGTGCGGAAAGAGGAGCTGTTTGTAGTGCTGAATACGGACAGCTCCCACCAGAAAACAGGAAAAAGACCCGCCCACCCTCTCTCATAACTGATATTTGTATTATATGCAAAATATTATATAGGCACGGAGAGGTAAAACATAGAAAACTAAAAAGAAAATACACGAAACCTGGGCTTTTAAGAGTTGGCGAACCCTCACCAATAAACATTAAAAAGCCCCCCACATAGGTTCATATTTAACACATGAATATTCATTACTATAACATTGTGGTTTATGGAAGACTAACCTCTAGAGGAGAGTCTGGTTCATCCAGGATGCTCTTTTCACTCTGTATCCGCTGCATCGTT